CCGAGGTTCTCTCTCTCTCTCTCTCCCTCTCTCTCTCTCTCTCTCTCTCTCTCTCTCTCCCTCCCTCCATGCAAAACCGCTAGAAACAAAGCAGCCTTGATAACCGAAGACACAACAAAAGACAGGGCTCAAAATATGCACAGCTCGATTGAACGGAACGATATGCCGATAACCTTGACCGCCCTGCGCCCTTCTCGCTCCAAGTAGCCCAAACCTGTGACGATCACGAAGCGGTCGAAAGTGCCAGCATCCAGGGCATCAGGGACAATTCCTTGACAGAAGCTCGAGATGCGATACTGCCGATTTCAAGCACTGCAAGGAGTCATCGAGTCAGAAGCCCACAGCCCCAAACTACAACGTTCTCGAATCACCTTCTCCAGGCCTGCTGAGTGGGTTGACTGCACAGACTCTCAATGCACAGACAGCCAAACAAGAACATGCTTCGGGAACTGTTGACCATCGTTGACACTTCTGATGTTGCGGAGGGCGGCTCCCAGCCTGGAATCATTTGGAATTCAGCAGTTTTGCCACTTCCGAAACCTTGTCTGCCGAGCAGCGTGTCAGCCACCAGTGCACTCCTGCCAAGCTGGCGCCCAGCGAGAGCTCGTGCAGATCGACGATGCCTTTGGGAGGCTCGTGGGCCGGATTCCGTCACACGCAGCGAAAACTGAGATCAGGTTGAGCACTTTGCAAACCTCACCAAATCAAGCGACAAAGGGAAGACGATCCAAAAAAGAAATCGGGATGCACCCGTGACAACCGAAGCTCCAGCTACCAAGCGCTGCGCAGCCTATGTCGAAGACAACCGCATTCTAGTAGGTGAAATGCGGTCAGCATTTGGGCTTGGGTTTCTTTCTCCTTCCCCCCGGCGTGCTGCCGGCTCTGATGTCATGCGTGCGACTGGGACTTTTTCAACAGTACCGGAAAAGACAATGAATATCACAGCATATGGGCCAAAAAAAGCCAAAAGCTGAGGAGGCTGCGGGAAACTCAAAAAAACTAGGTCAGCTAGATAAGTCCATGGCTCCTGGTCGAAGGTAACAGAAAAAAGTTTACGCAAAAGGTTCAGGAGGTGCCTGAGGGGTCGTCTAAAATAGGGCTCGGATTTCTGGGTCCGGAAGCAGAGCTGCGAGGATCATTCGACTCTCATCGCTACAAGGTCCTGCACCCGATGCGAGCACCCTGCACCAGTAAAGCCCCGTGTGCCAGCAACAAGTATCCGGCCAGAGTTCTGCACACTCTTTGGGTCCAAGTGGCCGGGCGAGCGCAGGAACTCCGGGAACGCACCCGCTTGGCGTGCAGAGGCGAAGAGGGCAAGCGACAGCTCCTGCACCAAGAATAATTTACTCTGGTTGCATTGTAGGGCCTGGACACAGGCTCTTGAATCTCAGTGGGTCTCTGGTTGTCGGATGTTCTTTGTGTGTAAAACTTCGGCATAACACAGCTTCGAGTCGCCTTGTTCCTGGCATGCACGGCAGAACCGAAAGCCCATGCAAAGTCCAAGACCGTGGGCGCGGGGTGGCTAGGCCCACGCAAAGGCCAGGACAAGCAAAATATATCCAGAATGACACCGATTACGAATTGGGATTGGAATGGGGTTCGAAGTTAATGTGGAATGATGCGGATAGGGAAAAGTTTCGTGGGCTGGGCAACTCTCATGGCAAAGAACTACTAGCTCCAGTAGGTTTCCCTGAGCCTACCTTCATCTGAGAAGCCTTTAACCAAGCTTGCCGAAGAGTCTTCTGAGCCTCATGGCGGACGGCATCCAGGATCCCGTCGTGAAGTTCCGGGTCGGCACCCAGGCTTCTGCAGCTCACGGTGAAAGACTTGCTTTCGTTTCGGTTCCGGAGCTCCAGATCTACAAGTTCAGATTCTTGGCCAACCCCTGCTTGCCCCTGCCAAACCTCAGAAGAGGGCATTATTGATCCCTTGACCGGCCAGGCCCCAAAAATCTAAATCCAAGATCAAAAAAAGCGACCTGGCCTCGTTGCGAGCCCGAAGACCGTCAGACTCCGTTGCCATTCCGAGGCTTGCCCACACCTTGGCAGCAGGCCATACAAGGTCCTCGAGCCTGTGGCCTGAAAAAAGCTCACCGTCTTGGGGCTTAGATTTCACAACGCGGATTTGTAGGCCAGACGCAAAGAATGTGTCGGCGTGAAACACCTGGCGTGAGTTCTACCAGGCACCAGCAAGTGTGCATGGTGTGTTCTCGACCGCACTGACGAAGGAAAGCACCAAATCTGCTAACATCAGATCATCGGAGAGCTCGTGGAGAGTACTGAGTGGCACACCATGCATGCAAGCATCATGCTACAGATCAGGTCGCGGCTCAGAGCGGTCAGGCTTGACTGCTTCCGTATCCTGCAAATCCTCAGTGTCGTCGTCGTCCTCCGGCTCAAAGTCGAAATGCTTGTCATCGCTCGTGCCACAGATGTCCACGTCCCAGCAAAACCCTGCCATGTCTTCACCCAATGTCAGTGCATCGACGAGTCCGTCACCGAAATTCTCGAGCACGTCATCGCATTCGAACTGCAGAGTTGGGTGGTGGAGGGCATATCCTTTGGGATTTGGCAGTGCAGCCAACGTGTTCCTGTTGCAGACCTTCTTTGTGAGCACTTCCAACACTTTGGATTCTGCCGCCTTGCCTGCAGGGGCATTCCCGATGTAGTGGTAGGGACTTCCTGGTTTGGTACTCTTCGCCTGCCTCCAAACAAGGTCTCCTTCCAATGCCAGTTTCTGGCATATGACACACCTCAGTCCACTTCGCCCTTCGTCTCCGCGCCGCTTCGCGCTTCCCTTCCCACTACCTGCACGCACTTCGTTCAAAAGGGATCCTGCGATCCAGATCCATGCACATATCCGAGGAAACATAGCGGGCCAAGTAGTTAAAGCTCTCTTGCTATGAGTAGCCAGGAACTCGTGATGCATGCACACAACCTGGCCAGCACAAGTGCTTGCATGGTATAAGCATGTTTTATGCATGTGTGCGTGTGTATGTGTATATATATATATATATACATATATTTATATGTGTGTGTCCTATTTGTATTTATTTGACGATGTGTGTGTGTGTGTGTATGTGTATCTGTGTATGTCTGCTTGCTTGTTTGTGAGTGTGTCTGTTTGTGTGTAGGCAAGCTTGTACACTGCGTATATCTCACCAAACACAATTCAGCCGCACGCCCACACACACACACGTAGACACACGCCTATACAGACACAAAGCAGAACTGTCATGCACCACACATACATATCCTCCTGCCCGGTATACATATGATACGGCATGATCAAAGCATGTGTAGAACTGGCGTTGTACGCAATGCCGTTCCTCGATGGCAACCTTGTGACGCGGACATGGCTTGAGCCAAATGCTGCCAAAGGCTTCCAACCAATAACCGCCACGGACTGAGGCAGGTGAGACGTGATGTTCGGGATTTGGGGTCCAGGTGGTAGGGCCTATGTACGTCTGTCGATATGTCTATATATATATACACATAAATATACATACATACATACCTTTCCTACATACATACATACATACATACATACATGCATACATACATACATACATACACACATGACTATTGTTTCTATTTGTTGTTTTCCATCTATCCAACCGTTTTCTGTAGGGTGAATTGTTGATGGATTGGTTGATAGATAAATAGACAGATAGATGGATAGATAGATAGATAGATGGATAGATGGATAGATCGATAGATACGGATCTGGCTGGCTGGCTCGCTCGCTTGCTAGGAACGTAGGTAAGTGCTCAGGTAAGCGTACATCTCGCTTTGGCGCAGAAGCAGGACAACAGCGGGAGCGTCAACTACGAACACCTCGCAGACATCTGAAGCTGTATGGTTATGACTATGACGGGATGATGATGTGATGAACTACTAGTATCTGATCGAGATTGCTTCAGAGTTCGAAGCCTTCAGCTAACGTACATACATGCATGCATGCATACATAATTACATACAGACAGGCACATGTAAGTACATACACACCTGCAGACATCCATACGTTCATCCATCCATCCATCCACCCATCCATCCATGCATCATTCATCCATTCGCTTCTGCATCCATTCATTTCCATTCCATTCGATTTCCACTTCCCTTTCCCCTCAATTCCCTTACCTTCCCTGCCCTTCCCTTCTCTTCCATGCCATTCTATTTCATTTTCCCTCCATTCCCCTCCATTCGCTTCCGTTCCGTTCCCTCCCTTATCTTTCCTTCCCTTCCCTTCCCTTCCCTTCCATTCCGTTTTCCCTCCATTCCATTCCGTTTCCTTCATTCGTTCTGATGTATGTACTTTCTTCATGTACTTGTTGCTGTGTCCGAATGTGTGCATGTCTCCTTCCGGGGCACCTGCAACCATGGGTTAGTTTGCTATTTGCTATTTCCTGCTAGAGAGATGAAGGATTCCTTTTCCATAGTCTTTCTTTGGCACACATTGCGACCCAACCGTGCCGTGGCACGCCCGCATGACTCCGTTGAAGCAGTTGGTGTCCACGCTGACATGGCTCCTTCCAGGGGTCGCAAGCAATGTGTCGATGCTCACACTCGGACTCATCCAGGCGAGGTCTGATGGCAATTGGGCTCGGGGTTTGCGGCGCGAGGAAGCAAGGAATCAGATAAATGCCAGGGGCTCTGGATTTTTAAGGGTGGCCACTTTCTTGGACAGTTAATTTCAACTTCAAACCGACCCGGAAATCCCCTTCCCTCCAAGTCTACCCAACTTAGATCAAACATTGAAGTCAGCATCGTGCGGCCCTCAAGCCACAGGATCTTGCGCAATATGTTTTAGGCTCGGTCTGTGTTGCACAAACTGCTGGAGTTCACATCTGCGGCCTATGATCAAGCCGTGCAATGCCAACAAAACAACTAATTATTGGCTTTTCCCTAGCACACATGCGAGGCCAAGCTGCGCTTGCATCGATCCAAGAAGATGTAAGGCCCATTCCCACTGCCCACCCCTCTCCTTGAAACTCAGGGTCTCGATTCGGAAGTTTAAATGTGTGGGGCATGTGAGGCCTGGGGTGCTAGTGGCGTTCACAGGTTGAGAATGCAGCCGAACAGGCCAGGAACTCCATATCCAACAACGAAGTTTGTCTACACTTCAGCTTCACTTAACAACATAGAAACGGCGAAAAGAGCATGTCATAGAATATAACCGTAAGCAGTCGACGTACGTCGAGTCATGGCCCATCAAGGTTCGACCTATAAAACTTCATCCCCTTCATTATCTCTTCCACCTCATATAGAAAACACTCCCCGCCTCCCCCCCCACCACTCAATTTCAACCAAAAATTATTCTCGGTGAAAATATTTCTTTTACCAAGGATCCATGTACCGATCCTTATGTTCCTCAGTGCTTCTTTCAGACCACAGACCCTGCAGTCTTACATTCCTGCGGCTGCTGCAGCCCACACAAGGTCCTCGTGCGGTCCCTGCACGCTACACTCCCGCTGCCCCTTGCAACCTGCAGTTCCCCTGCAGCGCCTGCAGTCCTACGTTCATGCGGCCCTCCCATGACAGCTGTGGAAAGGAAAACGTTTGGAGAGGCAACTCAACTCACCCTTTCTAGCACACTCGCTCTTGCCATCGTATCGTAGGGCTTTAGATGCTGTCCCAGTCCTTACACTCTGAGACACAGCGAGAGAGGGAGAGAGATACAGATACGGATACGGATACAGATACAGATACCGGTACAGATACAGATGCAGATACAGATACCATTAGAGACACTTGGAGAGAGTAGAAAGAGTTAGAGAGAACTGAAGAGCATTAGAGAGAATCAAAATGAAGTAGGGAGAATTAGAGGGAATTAGCGAGAGTTAGAGCGAACTAGAGAGAGTTAAAGAGAATTAGAGAGAATTAGAGGGAATTAGATTGAGTTGCATGGGAGAAAGACAGCGAGCGAGCGACCAAGCTTCGATATAGGTTCAGAAGTTAGCTGTAGGTTCCGACGCAGTCTTTTTACGTGCAGGTTCTGGGTCCCCAACCCTGCCACAACCTTTAAGACTACGAGGGGGAAAAACGAGGAGAAAGATATTGCTTCAGCAGTACTGAAGAACTCTCACTGTCGATTGGAGGATGACCCATGCATGATCACGTGCAGATACAAGGCTCCAGTGACAGGCCCAAATTCAACGAACAGCCCGCATCATCCCAAGGGCTCGGGGTGCAGAATCTGGCCGCTGACAGCCGCCAGCATCCCGACATCTTACAGAACAACCGAACCGAAGCCCCGAATTGACGGACGAGTGTCAATGCAGCTGATGGCAGACACATAGCTGATGGTATCCTCGATCCGAGCCGTCAGCGGTGCTTGAATTCTATCTTTTGGCTTCCCAAACGCAGCGCTGCTCGAAAAGCCTACATCGCTGTAAGACCATTCTCGCTAGGCGCAAGTAGACTGCTGAGAAGTGCCTGCTAAGTCCAAGATCGGACTATCGCGCAAATGGCCGCTCTCGGCTGACTTCAGAACAGGCACCGGCGGCACTTTCGCCGCAAGCATCTCCTGAAGGAGGCTCAAGCAAGGCTGCCACCTCGGCTGCTGTTGAATTGTTGGTTCTTCCCCGATCCTTTGTGTCGCAGCCAAAAACAAAAAACCAAAAAAATGATCGCCCCTTCTGCACCTACATCCCGATCCTGCAGAGTGTGCGAGCTTGTCGCAGTTGCACAACCCGCCCTTCCCAATCAAGCAGCTGAGAGCCTCCCTGGCAGGATGATATGGCAGCATTGTAGCCTTAGCTGCTTCGCTTTGAAGTGCAGGCTGAACTGCGGCCTGGCTCTTCGAGGTCTTTTGATGGGAGCGGGAGGACGAGTAAGCTTGGCCCCGAGTCGGCTGCTTGGGGAGACCAATCTTGGTTTATGTTTGGAAACAGTGGGGGGGCTTTCTCCACCTCGAACGTCCAAGGCTTAGGTTTTGGCGGGGCTTGTCACCATCATGTCGGTCCCCACATCCACATGGCTGGCCACTTGCAATGCCTTGCTGCTACAACGCTTGTGTTCATCGTCCTCAGCACCAGCTCCTCGTGATGACAATCGCACAAGTACCGTAAGATACGCGCACCCTCTCGAAGTCCGGAGGCTGAAAATATCCGCTGGGATCTTCGCAGTCCTCATGTCCTCGGATGGATTTCTGCACGTGAAGGCTTCATGGTTAGGACAGGGCTAGCCGCAAGTTCCGTACCAACTGTAGGGGGTCTACTGCAACAAACCCTAAACCCCGCAGACTTGAAGCCTGAGCCCTTTAAGCGCAATCCCGACGGAGGCCTCAAAGAGCTGCAATGACGGCTGCCACTGCTCTCCAGTCCTTCGTGTCCAGGCTTTGGGCTTTAGATTCTTCTAGGAATCAGGCAGCTCTGGTAGATGCTTGGAGCAACTCAGTGCTATGTCATATGCTGTGCACCTCCAAGACGGGCTCAGATCCCTAAACTGGGAAGGCTACACTACAAAGCTCGGGTGCATCTTGCACAGGAATCCATCCAATGCTTGAAGACCGTCCAGCTGCAGAGAAGCCAAAAACAAGCGCCTTGCCTTCGAAAAGCGTAGCGGCTCTCAAGACCATCCAAGCAAGCCCCAACAATCCCTGCAAAGCAAGAATCTGGTAGGCAAGCATGGCGGTGTTGTAGCAGACCGCATCTGTGGCAACACCGGCCGGCCTAGCAGGGAGCACTCGATGTCGGATTTGGATGGCAAGGCAAAAGCGGAGGGCCATGTGTGAAGTCACAACTCCCAAGAGTCTTGGAAGGCTGTAGCTGTGACAGGTCACATACCATACTATACCTAAACCCTTCTACAACTGGACCTAAACCCTTTTACACAGGCTTGA